TATTATTCACAAGCAAAAGTCTGACCACTACATGCACTTTCTATTGAGTCCAAAAGACTGTAGAACTGAGTTATTATAAAAATGGGTTCTCAAAATACCACATAAGGGCAAAGTTGTTGGATAGTCAATGAAAAATATTTTTTCAGTTAAATTAGCTCATACGCTTTGGCTTTGAGATGGCAGAGGTGAAAAAGGATGCTTTTATGATGTCTTTCCAAGGCCCATGATGATAATAAACTATTTATTTATTTCTTCTTTTCAAGAGGTATGGTGTCTCCAAGCTCCCTGTTTGCCATTTTTCTCTTAGGAAACCTTTTATATTTGTCTCCTGGCTTCTGTGGGGGCTGAGTTAAGCAGAAAGGGCCCTGTAGAGAGATGAGAGGAATTATTTTCTCCTGAGACATGGCCAGTTGGGGCAGAATGCCAGTGAAGAGGCCAAGTTTTCTGCCAACAGTATAGAGTGAAATTGTAACATACCCTTTAATGTTGTTATAACTTTATTTTCCACTTTAAAGTAATAGAAATTCTTCCTAGAAATAATGCTGTTTAGAAGAGACAGCATGGCATAGCTGACTAAACCCATATCTTTGAGCACTCGCCCACCTTTGTAATAAAGGGACATTTTTTATATGGCTCCTGCATTCACAAGATCAGGAAATGATGGAAATGTCTTTATCACAGAATCAAAGTGCTCAAAGGGGGCGCTGTAAGATCATTTTAAATATTTTATTCTTCAAAGATAGGCAGACATTCTAATTTTTTACAGAGATGCAAGGCGGTGGGGTATAATGAAAAGAATAAGACTTTAGGCTGATGCCAACCTTGAAATGCATCTTAATTCTATTATTAACAAGACTTTAGGGGAATTGTTCAACTTTTCTGATTTTTAATATTCTTATATTTAAAAATAAGAAAACAGACACTTTTGTACTTTTGATCCTGAAAACATGCCTGCAAGTTGATTGTAAGATAGTGAAACAATGGATTTAATATAAAAGAAGGGTAAGGGATCCTGTTTTAATGTAAATTTTGCTTTTTAGACACAATAGTTGAATTATTAGAATTCTAGCGTCTCACACACATTCTGTAATTTTATTTTTTCTTTGCGACAGTATATGTAGTCAACCTGTTTAAGTGGGCGCCTGGCTGAGGTTACAGGCATCACTTTTAACATGTATACTAATTACTATTCTTTTCTGTATTATATTAAGTTCCTGATACTCCTGTTACTAGTAGTTAAACCTTTATTTTTCTATTTTCACCATTTTAATAGAAAAATAATGACAAATTAGAGTAAAACATTCAAATAATTGCACAGATATTAATCTTTGTTTGGATCATTCAATTCACAGAAGTTATTTCTTAGGGGTTGTTATTGTTAATTACTGTTGTTACAAACAAATCCCAAACCTCAGTGACTTAGTTTAATTTTTTTTTTCTCATAAAAAGTCCAGTCCAGTGGACTTTGGGAGGTTGACACAGGAGGATCACTTGAGCCCAGGAGTTCAAGACCAGGAGGCAACATAGCAAGACCCTGTCTCTACAAAAAACCAAAACATTTCCCAGGCATGGTGGTGCACACCTGTAGTTCCAGCTACTTGAGGCTGAGGTGAGAGGATTGCTTCAGCCCAGGAGGTAAAGGCTGCAATGAACCATGATCATGCCACTGTACTCCAGCCTGGGCAGCAGAGCAAGACTCTGTCTCAAAAAAAATTATCTATCTATCTATCTACCTACCTACCTACCTACCTACCTAAAGAGAATGAGAGAGAGAGAGTCCACTGGGGCTGATCTTGCTTGGGCAGCTCTTCTTTAAGTTGCCAGACTCAGTGTCCTGGCATCTTTTCTCAGAGATTCTGTTATCCATCAGAGCCTCCCCTGGAGGCCTGTGCTGGGTCTGCTTTATTCAGCAGCCGATGAGCAGAGAGGTTATCTCATATGTCATGTTTTCTTCTTCTTTTATTTTTTATTTTTTTGAGACAGGGTTTGCCTGTGTTGCCCAGGCTAGAGTGCAATGGCACAATCAAGGCTCACTGCAGCCTTCACTTCTTGGACTCAAGCAATCCTGCTACCTCAGCCTCCCCAGTAGCTGGGACTACAGGTACACGGCACCACACCTGGCTAATTGTATTTTTTGTAAAGATGAGGTTTTGCCAGGTTGCCCAGGCTGGTATTGAACTCCTGGGCTCAAGTGATCCTCCTGCCTCAGCCTCCCAAAGCACTGGGATTACAGGTGTGAGCCATCATGCTGGCCTTTCATGGGTCTTTTTAAGGGCTAGGGCTAGAAGTACACAACTGACAGCTGCTTACACTTCATTGGCTATTGTCACAATATGCTATTGAGATGCAAAAGGATTGGGAGGTGTAGTTTTTCCACGTGCCCAGGGGAGAAACTAAATGGTTTGGTGAATCCACAGCATTGTCTGTCTGGCAACAGGGCTGTCAAACTGAATTATTAGCCAGCAAGCAGCCACTAGGGCTCTCAAAAAGTTTGTTCATCAAAAGTGATGTATAAAAGGGTGGTTTTAGTATACAGTAAGCAGTGTATAGCTGTCCACAAATGATATGTGGAAGTTGGATGCATGGCTATTTGAGAGTATCTATATATCTTATTGCTCAGAGATAATGCCTATTGCTGAGTTGCAGCAAAGAGTCAGTAAGATATTTATGTGAAAATGCCTAGCACAGAGTTAGTATTGACATGTTGTTCCCTAAACTTTTTTTAAAAACTAGATTGTTGGGTGGGCATGGTGGTTCATGCCTGTAATCCCAGTGCTTTGGGAGGCTGAGGCAGGAGGATCACTTGAGCCCAAGAGTTCAAGGCTGCAGTGAGCTAAGATTGCACCACTGTACTCTAGCATAGGTGACAGAGCAAGATTTGTCTCTTAAAAAAAAAAGACCAAAAAAAAAAAAAGATTCTTCCACAGTCTCCTTTAATAAACTCATCTAGTGATGAATGGGTTCCAGCTAGAGTCTGCAACTTCTTATATATTGCCAAAATTGATTTTTCTACAGTTTAATCATATTTATTTCGAATGATTCTCATAGAAATAGTAAAACATCTGATCATCACTCTTCTTGTACTACTCTATCAATGTCAAAGCCATCTGGCCATCTGTAAGTCTTTTCTCCTTTTGGCTCATTTAAAACTTTTTTGATATGTCTATCAGTTTTCACATACGATTCAATGTACATTAACTGCTATTTTCTTTAGGCTCTTTATGTGTGAAAAGTAGGGAATTACAGTAGTTTCCTACCCGGGAAACTTTCCATTGGCTTTTATTTCCCATTCAAAAATGAATATTTATTTCCTTATTGCTCTCCATCAATTAAGAATGTGTTCTTGTGAAAATACCTCAGGAAAACAAAGATCACTTCACAAAATTCAGAATGTTAATTTATCCCGCTGGGCCACTGTTATGGAAAGTTATCAGCCATATCATCACAACCAAAGGTTTTAAAAGAAGTAATTTTATATCAAGAACATATGAGTGTTACTTTATCCTTTCCTTTAATCTTGTCTTCATCTTAAAAGCAGAGTTTTCTAAAACCTACTGTCTTCTGGGAATACATCAGAATTTGTCCTGAGCCTTCCTTCCTGATATGCCCCTCGGATTCAGATCCTCATGAATCAGCAGCCACCTCATAATGTGAATGCTCAAGAACAGAATGAGGAACAGCATTCTCCCGGGTCTGATAGGAATTTGGGAGGGCTGACTTGCCTATTTTTCAAGGTGTTGTGCCCAAGAGGAACGGAGGCCAGGCTTCCTTGCTTCTTTACCAATCTACTTTTCAGTTTCCTGTTCAACTCCCTTCCTTTGCTTAGTAGGTTTCTAGGTATTTTCATTTATTAATGTTAAAAATACCTTTTCAAATGAATTACTCATTTACACATTCAAATTAAGATTTTCATTTCCCAGTTTTATCACAGCTGGCATAATGAACCATGTCAAGTTTTTAAACTATATTGTGACAACATTTAAACTTGTTATGCTTTGCCTGTGGATGTAATTAAGACACTGTGCTTGGTATCAGTTTATTCTTAAACAGCAAAGTAAAAGCAGATGAGGCGTATTTATAGACTCATCAGCCAATGAATGGATGAAAGAGAAAAAGAAATTAATGGGGAAATGTCAGCCAGAATGGAGGAGGGACCCACTGAGAAGTTCATTTCCAGACCAACTATTTGGAATTTAATCCAAAGAGAGCTGTCCCTTGATTTACAGTAGGGGAAAAAAATGACATTGTAAGACTATTGGGCCTCAAGTTAAGAAGCAGGCAAAGAGTAACATACTTCAAATAAACTTCTGCAGTTGGGATGGGGGCCCAGGCACAATGCTTACAGTCAGGACCCTACCTGGAGGTACGTGCCCTCCTACAAAGAGTGGGGCTTAGGAAAATCTGGGAAAGAAGGAAAATCTCTAGGAAACATAGAAGCTTTGGAACTTGGTCCTGGCCATTTGAAAGCTGTTTTGATTTGAAGCCAAAGCCCCTGGGGGATGGGGGTAGGGGAGTAGAGTGAAGGGGGAAGTAAAGAAAAGGGCAGAAGATAAAATTGTAGTATAAAACCCCAACCCAAGGAATTCAGTTTTGAGAACCGACAAAGAAGAAAAATGAATTGCAAAGCTTAAGGGATACAGATTCATTTCTTTGTGTTTTCTTGAGAGCTTGGGCAGTACATTTCTTTTATTGTAAAATGAAACACAAAAAGTTGTCAGACATTCTGGGGCATGTGTCTAACATTAGACACAGGTGAGGCAGAATAAATCTGCATTGTCTTGAGTACATGTAAAAGGGCAGCATGGGGGGAGGAAATATGGTTGTTTTGGCATCCTGTTTTTAACTACCCATATTTCAGAGTCTGGGAGAAATGATCTGGGCCCGAGCAAAGTCCTGTGGTCTGCAAACACTTCAGCTGGGGTGAGGGGGGAGCAGAGGGGAAATGGCTTCACCGGTTCTCTTCCCCAAAGCATCTAAAGGAATGTTCATTAATGACTTTTAGAAGAAATTCCTTCGGATTTTCATGGGACAGCAACCAAGAAGAGTTCTTCAAAAACTCAGATTTAAAAATACCTTTTCTAGAGAATTAAAGTATGTTAACAAAAGGTAGGTTTAATTTAGAAAAAAAAATCTCTGAGAATTCATAAAGGAACGTTTCTTTTGTTTGTTGTACGTACTTGTCTCCAGATCCTAATGTACCTTCACTTCTGAGCCTTAGGTTTGCTTCTCCATATATACCTAAACTCTTTTTCTCCCTCCTCTGCCTCAGTGAATTTGACTGATGTATTTTGTTGATGTGTGTGTGATTGTGGGTTCTTGGTTTAACTCTTTAGAGAGAAAATAAAATGATACAAGAAAGGAAAAGAAAGAAGAAAGGAAGGGAGGGAAGAGGGAAGGAAGAGAAGAAGGAAGGATAGAAGGGTAGAAAGAAAGGGAGGGAAAGGAAGGGGAGGAAGGAAAAGAGAAGGGAAAGAAGAGGGGAAGGAAGGAAGAAAAAGGATCAAGGCATAACAAATCCATTTGCTTCAATCATGGAATCAAACCATTCCTATTTCTGAACACTTTCCTCAGCTGTGGCACATCTGGAGATACTGAGGAAATTAGTTCACAGAGCTTTGAGCTTTGTTTCTGCTGAGTTGGCTGTTCTGTTATATAGAAAAGTGTGTGTGTGTGTCTGTGTGTGATGTACATTTAATTCACAAAACAGTTACCTGACCATCCAAGCTTCTCAAACTATCTGTGGCAAAGAACCAGTTTTTAAATGTCCAATCAGCCATAAACTTTATTTTAATCAAATATAACAAAAATGTATTTCCAGGAAAATTAAATTTAAAAACACTCTGAATCATGCAAAATGCAAGCCTCTCATATCTAATATTAGGTTTAAAATTCAGTCCAGCATGGTGGCTCACTCCTATAATCCCAGCACTTCGGGAGACTGAGGCAGGTGGATCACCTGAGCTCAGGAGTTCGAGACCAGCCACACCAATATGGTGAAACCCCGTCTCTATTAAAAACACAAAAAGTAGCTGGGTGTGCAGGTGTGCGTCTGCAGCCCCAGCTACTCAGGAGGCTGAGACAGGAGAATCGCTTGAACCCCAGAGTTGGAGGTTGCAGTGAGCTGAGATAATCAGACTCCATCTCAAAAAAAAAAAAAAAAAAAAAAAGAAAAAAAAAAAAAAAAAAAAAAAAAAAAAAAAAAAAAAAAAAAAAAAAAAAAAAAAAAAAAAAAAACACACAAAATAATTTTATGTCAGATGACTAGAAAAGTTTCTAAATGCTCACTCATAGTTTTACTGAACTCATTGCAATGTGGTGCCAGTCTGCCCAGGGCCAGCACTGTCCAGGAACACCCTTTCCATAGTACCAGTGTAGATGTTCTATAAAGAAAAGATCTCTAAACAAAAGGAAAGGGATAACAGTTGATATTTTTTAAGTTTAGAGTTATTAACTTGTTATTAAAGTATAGACAAAATAAATTCCAGATTTTTTCAAATAATTTCTTTTAAAGAAAGCATTTAATTGCCTAAACAGTGTTGATTTTTTAAAAAATCACTGAAGTGTTTTTTTAAAAATAGTAAAATAAACTATATACATGGAGTCTCCCTGTTATCATATGGGCCCTATTTGTGCTCAAGCACTGGAAGAATGAATTGATTTTAACATAAATAGTTTTAAGAATGAAAGTTTCTAAAATGTAAATAAAGGTATGGTATTCTGAAATGCATATTCAGCTGGTTGACATGACATACACATTCTTGCATGCCATTATTTTTTTTTTTCAGTTTGTCTTTCTTTACTCAAACATAATGAATTAATGTAGACCATTGCCTAATTTAGTGTGGACTAAAGTAGTTTGAATTCACATATTGGGTTGAAATGGCCAGGAATATTGTAGAGTACTGAAAAGACTCTAAGTGAATTGCATGTTTTCATCTTAAACTCTAAGACATTTACCAATTCCCACTGATCTCAAGTTGCTCTAACGAAATTTCCACACAGAGGCTAATAGAATTTATGTCCCTAAAAGCAGTAAGTTAAAGAAATGGAAGCTTGAGTCATAAAGAAATTCCCTGGCTGTAAATTTATTATTTGTGAGAAAGAATTTCTTTTTTAACAAAAAATTGCAGAGCAGAGCTATTGCATATCATCCCCACATGGAACAAGTGGTGAAAGGACTGTTGGGTTATGGAAATCATATTATTGTTATTATATGTTTTCCTTAGCTGCGGCTATCACAGAGAACCTTTTGGGGAGGGTGTTATTTACAATGCTCTATTGTTTAACATCCCATGTTAGGATTCTGTTTCAATAGTAGTTTATAACCATCACATATTTTTTTTTTCTTTCTAGATTTGACTTTAGATAAATGTCACACTCTAGTAATGAGGTTTTAAGAATTATTCAGTAATCGAACCATGTGAATTCAATGGTCTATAAGCTTGGAATCTCAAGAAATTACTAAGTAAATTTTGGGTAGTGAATATCAAAAGTGTTCACATAAACATGCAATTAAAAAATGGAACTAACATCCATTAAGCAGCACTAAACTGACATGAATTGGCTTTATTGTGGCCAGTGAGAGGAGCTGGCTGGCTCTCTGATGGCTGCATTAGAGGCTGGGACAGAATGTGAGAGCTGGGTAGGGGCCCTATGTGGGTCGCATGTGACATCCAGGTGCACAAAGTTTTGGTGTTGGTGTTTGACTTTTGACTGAGCTTCGGACAGCTTTTAAGATTCTGAAATTTCTTAAAAGTTGAACTATTTAAATTGTTTGCCTTCCTGTGGGGCCCTTCCAGTGTTCCTGGATGATAGGAACCATCCAGTTTTGTCAAAACACAAGCATAAATCTGAAGAGTTCTGTGTTCTGTGAGAGGCAGCTTCATGGAGAAGACAATCATTCTCTCTGTTTCTCGGTAGGATCCGTTTTGGACCCCAGGGGGTAATTTGCCATCTTTTGGCACATACTGAGTCTCTGTACACTGTTTCTGCTCCCATTCTTGCACTTGTTAATATATAGCCCCAGCTGGTTGCTCTCTAAGTGCCACTCACAATCCATATTTCCACAGTGATGACATTGGCTGCTTCGGTTTTAGGAACTGCCAGAAATAGCCACTAACCAACAGAAAGAGAGCCAAGAACTAGCCCTGAATAATTGGTCAACGATGCCACTTTTGTTGTTTCTGGTTCCTTTTGCTTCCTGGAAAATACAGACCTACAAACCAAACATTGTGTGTGGGTTGATGCTACGGCATTGTCTGAACCTGGAAGGATGATCATGAATTCTGATGCCTCGTCTTCTCACTCCAGGTCCAATTTTTACCTGTTTTAGGAGTCTTGAGATTAGGTTATGTACTCTAACTCTGGGCAAATGGAAACACCAGAGAAGAATTATTCATCTCATAAAATTTCTTACAAGGTATTAACTTGTAGACCATTTTGGAGAAGATGAGCAAATGCATTTTTCAAGGCCAGCAGGGCTGGTTGCTATGAGCAGGCTAGTGTCAGCACATAAGACCTGTCCGTGCTGACCTAGGAAGTTTCTATAAGATGAAAATCTTTTTCATAATCACATGATGGCAATTTCCAGAGTGTCACTAGATTACGGATATGATGGTTTATGTTAAAAACAACTATTTTGTTAAAAAGTATTTGTCAAAATTCTACTTTGTGAGAGGTCTTCTCCCAGACGCTGGGCACTAGTACTTCTTCTTATCTTCTTGATAACAGCTGTTCTAATAGGCAGGAGATGATATCTTATTATCATTTTAATTTTCATTTCCCTGATAATTACTAATGTTGAGCATTTTTCATAAGCCTACTGGCTATTTGTATGTTTTCAAATAGCAAAATCTTGATCTGACTCTCGTTCTCTGTTTTTTTTTTTCCCTCTCTCCCTCTCTCTCTCTCAGACACACACACACACTCTCACTCTCCATTATAAATATTTATTGAGGTTGCAGTGGGAAAGACAATCATGTAACTATACCATTACTTCAGTAGATTTTAAATTATTGTCTGCAAGAGTTCTTGAATCCATGTCCAGATAAACAGAAATATTCTGATCTAGACTTTGTCAAAGTATGTTTCAAGGTGGGAAATACTGGTTATTCATTTCAAAAGTAGTAATAAGTAACACATTTTGTTATATTGCTGCGGCGTGTAAGATACAGAATTGTAGAAATCTAAAGAAAGAAATATCTTTAAGGGGAACTCTCCATGGAAACCTATCAAGCTGTGAATTTGAAGCATGCTAAGTGGCTTCTGGTAAAGCTACATCAGTGGAAAGGTTTATCACTTAACAATGTCTGCATTGGAATACCATAGTTCTGTGGGAAATACGGCCAACGACTCGTAGATTTTCTGGACAGCTACACAAATGTTTTCTTTTAGTGTGATAGTTAAAAGTATTTGACCTTAATTCTGAAGTTTTCTCTCATGCCTCCACATCTGAAAGAATTCAACGCTATCTTGATTTGAAGTCTCTCCTGGTTAGCAAGCTGACTGGTGGTGATGTATCACATATAGTGGTTTCTGTGATGTGGGCTGCTGACTATGGAAAGATGAATGAAGATCACAATCACATTAAGTTTGAGAACTATGGTCAGACTTAAACCATTATCCTGAGGTGTATGGCTGTTGATTTATCAACGTCCTCATTTTTATGAAGGAAATCTTCTCAAGGTTGCTGTATGCTCTGTGTGTGTTGTATGTCAAATAAGGTATAATGTTCTCTCATAACTTCATAAGTAAGAATATATTGCTTTGAGAGATGGAATAAAATGACAAGCTTTATTTGGCATCTATATATTTAAGAGATCCTGAGGAGATTAATGGTTGCTGGTCACTGGTCAAATTTCTTTGATGTACACTTTTTTTTTTTCCCCCACTAAAATTCTGCACTTGCCACTCCCTGGATGAGTTACCCACACATTTAGGTACATAAATTATGGTGCATTTATTACATCATTTCCAACTTAGCTGGATAAAAGCATGGTGGGATTTTTCCCTGTGTGCAATTTCCATTTTGGTGGCATTTCTGCTTCCTAATAAATTCCAGACAGTCAAAGTAGACACCCAAATTCTGTTTTTATGTACTTTAGCTTTCTGAGTTTGGCCATACTTTGTTTGGGAGATGTCCTACTGGGAAGTTATTTAGATTTATGAATATTTGATGAACTTTTTGCAGAAACGGGGGTCTGGCGATTTATACAATTTCATTGTATATAGTATACTTTTTCTTTTTTTAACTCATTTTAATTTTTGGTAACTTGGATGTGATATTTAATAACCTATTGACTTAATTTTATCATTTACTAATAGTTTCAACTTTGATCTCTTTCTAACCTATTGTCAGAAGGATATAGGACAAAAGAAGCAAGTCCTGGGGCAGATACAAAATGTATCTCCTCTATTCATTTGTATATATACATATGTTGACCTTCAAATATGAGCCAGCTTTCTAACTTTTATCACTTTACTAGCATGGAATTGCTCCAATGCCCTCAAGTGGTCTCAGCCCACACTAACCTCTTTCTGTTACTTCTTTTTCTTATTTCTCTGCATTCTAAATGCAGAAGTTGGCTTTTTCTGTTACTTAAAATTAACATCTAAAGGAGGAATGTCTATGTATTTTTGTCCTGGAGTTTCTAGTATTTTAATACTAACACAGCAATGAATAATGTTTGCTGCACAAATAAAATTTAAACAAATACCAGATTGATAAGGTTAGTTTTTTAATTTTGCCTAAACAATAAACAAAACAGGAAACACATTAAAACCTAAACATGCAATCTCTCAAGGTAAAAAAATTTTTAAAAATGTTATACTCAACATACCCACTTATGGGTTAAGAATAGCAGAATATAAATTTTATTAGACTGAGGGAGAAATCACTCTACCCTCTGAAAAGATGTAGGTAGCCATATAATTCCATTAGCCAGTTCAATGGGCTAGGCTCCCAGGTTCATGCAAATTCACAGAGAAATATCAGAGCATAATAATTTTGGTCAACAGATTTTTTTTTTTAATTAGATGGATTCTTGTTCTGTCATCCAGGCTGGAGTGCAGTGGCATGATCTTAGCTTACGGCAACCTCCGCCTCCTTGGTTCAAGCGATTGTCTGCTTCAGCCTCCTGAGTAGCTGGGATTGCAGATGTGCACCACCACGCCTGGCTAATTTTTGTATTTTTAGTAGAGACAGAGTTTCACTATGTTGGCCAGGCTGGTCTCAAACTCCTGACTTCAAGTGATCCGCCCACCTCAGCCTCCCAAAGTGCTAGGACTACAGGTGTGAACCACTGCGCCCAGCCTGGTCAATGGTTTTAACTACCAACCCCATGTAATTTTTGCTTGTCTTCAGTCAACTGATTTGCTCTCTGGTGGAGATATTCAGAGGTTGGTGGAGGTAGGGGGAGTCTTGAGGGTGGGTGTGGAGAAAATAAGAACCCCTAATCAACAGACAGGTAAGTATTGGAAAAGTGACTACCATGTACACAAGACAGCCAATCCTGATACTAAACTTTCTACTCTGAGAAAATCATGTACATTTAAAAAAAAAAGAAGAAGAAAAGAAAGGCTAACAGCCAAAGGAAAAACTGCCCCAGCTCTTAGGATTAATTAAGGAATAATTATTTGCAGGTAGAGTTTTTGTTTTATGCAAAGCTCCTTCTCAATCTTTTCTTTTAAACTCAGTAATCTCGATTGCATTAAAAACTAGCTCACTTAAAAATTGTTTTAGAACAAAATTTTAGTAGATGTACTTTGCATGTTTTATACAGCTTGTGCAATGCATATTGTAAAATACTGTTATTACATTTTGTAGTGACGTTTTTCCTTTCCACCATGTAAGAAACTCTGTTTTCTTATTCCCAAAGATGAAAATATGGTAGCTTTTTAAATTTGAACTGATTTGAACATTATGTTCAGAGCCAAGTGGAATAAGAAAAGCTTATTTATTGAAAGGAATATTAGGATAATGGGTGCTATTGAAAAGTTACTTAAAATTAACATCTAAAGGAGGAGTGTTTAAGTATTCTTGTCCTGACAGATTTTCTATCATGTTAGCAAAGGTGGAAAAGTTTCAGTATAAATGAAGAGAAGGAGAAGTAGTAGATAAGGTTAAAGAATGAATCATATCGTCAAATAAGGTCATATAAAAAGAGAAATGAATAAATGGGTATGTAATGAGAGAAATCCAATGTTATATCAACACTTCCAAAGAGGCTCAGAACATGAGATGACATTGTCTTTTGGCTCAGTTATGCCAGATACCAGAAAGGGTAAAGCTCTATGTTTGCTGAGATTCCTCTTGTTCTTGGACCCTGACAAGATTGACTGGGAAGCCTGCAAACCTGAGTGGACTTTCCCCAAGAGACATACTCACATGACACAATGGTGGACTGGATTAATTATTAATGATAAAATGGCATTCCAATAATTTGCCAGTAACATTTGAATTGTACATTTTTTTTTTTTTTTAATGTAAGGGATCTGTGTTGGAGGACAGGGAGTGAACTGTGATTTTGTGGAATATATATTGGGTCCTTGTTTCCTGGCATTCAGCTTCTAAAATCCTTGGAGTCTCCAAAGTAATAAACGTGTTTCTGAATGATAATGAGATGACTGGTGACTGGCAACCTTTAAGTAGCTTCAGGATGAGGGCTGGTCACAGAAAAGACCAAGGCAGGATTAGAGGACTGGGACTTCAGCCCCGTCCTTCAACCTCAGGGAAGGAAAGAGGTACTGAAGGTGAAGTTGATTACCAATGGCCAATGGTTTAATCAATCATGCCTATGTAATGAAGCCTCTGTAAAAACCCCAAAGAATGGAGATCAGATGAGCTGGTAAATGAACGTGTGGAGGTTCCTGGAGTGGGGCACATCCAGACAAGGCATGGAAGCTCCCTGTCCCTTTTCACATGCCTTGCCCTGTGCATCTCTTCCTCAGACCCTTTGTAATCTTTTTTTTATGTTAAACCGGTAAATGTAAGGAAAAAAAGGAATTCAATTAATTATTAATTCCACAAATATTTACCAAGAGTCTACTACAAGACAGGCACTACTGTATATTAGTCACTGTCAGCACATAAGACCCTGCTCCCAATGACCTGTGATGTTTCCAAATGATGAAACGCTTTCTCATAATCAGAATCAGATGATCATAATGGGGGCAGGTTACTAGATTATGGAGATGCTGGTCATGGTGACAGTAACCATTCAGTTCAACAAATAATCACTAACCTCTACTCTGTAACAGGCCCTCTGCCAGGTT